TATTTTTTTTTTTTTTTTTTTTTTTTTTTTTTTTTTTTTTTTTTTTTTTTTTTTTTTTTTTTAATCCAGTGTTATGTTTCTCTCATTCAAGGGCTTTGTTTACTTGGAGAACTGGCTGCTAATTTTAAATCTGAGGAGGCACACAGAAGTCTTACAAAATATAGTGGAGACTGCATTATGTGGGCTGGAGACAGATGTTTTTAAAACCTCTAACTGAAACTTAGTAGAGAATGATGAGGGCTTAATTCCAGCTCACAAGGTCTGAACAGCATTATTTGATTTAAAGATAATTAGGATATTCAGCATAGCTGCTCAAGAGTGGAAAAAATAAACACTTGTCATGAGACAGAGACAAATTTGTATTTAGATTTGACTATGAAGGACTTTAAATCAACACTGCTGTCAGAGCCATATAAATAATTTAGCAATCCAAATGTTTTCCCAAGAGCTGGATTTTTACTATTCAGCTGCAATGGGAAAATTGAATTTTTGATGGTATTTCCATGGATTTTACCCATGTTTTCTCCAAGGACTGCAGAAGTCCACTGATATTTGCTTCTCCTTATGACCTGTTGGTCACCTCTGGGTTGCAGGTCAATCCTATGCAGCATGAGAAAGGTACACAATAAGTTTAAGCCTTATTGCTAAAATATCTTTCTTGGAAGCACCTCTTCATCCTCAAAGGATTAGATCTACTGCTAATTCTGCAGGCACGTCATATCAAATTGTTTTATGTTGTTCAGAAATGTTAATGCACATTCAGCCAAAAGAGTTTCTAATTTCTGGCATATTTTGCCCCAGGAATGAGGTTGAGTAGGTGGGGGCTATTTTTCTTATCCTGCTGTAATGATTTTCTGCTGATGGCCGAATGCAGAAGTTCACTTTAGTGGCTGGAATCATGACTCATTCAGCCCAGAGTTTACGGAGTTACTGGAAAGCTTTCAATTTTATGGAGTTTGTGAACCTGGTAATTGAGAGAGAGGGAACAATTCCACACTCCTCTCATGAAAATTTAATATGCAGCTGTATTAAAAGCAAATGTTTTGTGAAATTACATTAGATTTGGCCTATGTGTATTCATTTTTTTCAACAGAAAATGAAAATAGAACAATGTATTTTATTCACATTTCCTTTTCACATTTTGTGTATTTCAGATTTTAAAACTTTGTTTTGTTCTTTCAAAGTGAAAAAAAAAAATCATAGATTAAAGGAGTGAATTCCAGAGATTCTTGGATTTTGTGTTTACACTCTTCTCAATTTTCTGACTGTTTCCCAAGATTTCCCAGTTTTCCAAAATGTCAAAAGTATCTTTGCAGGGAGATAATGGGATTGTTGTCTTTACCCCAAGCCCCTGTATCCCTGGAAGCCACTCCAGGCTCTTTCCTGAGTTCTGAAAAACATGCTCACATTTTATTCCAGGACCATGGGGATTCAGTCTGTGTGATCTGTCCTCCGTGGTTCCACCACAGACATGAGGAAATAACGATGCCAACCAGACACTCTCCTGCACTGAGTGGCACCTCCATCATCTACAGGCAATAGTTTACCAGGGTTAGTGACTGCCATAAAATACAGAATTAAAAGACTTTTTTCTGCCTGCTCTTGAAACAGGACTAAAGTAAGCAGATGCATCACTGCCTGGGATAACTTACAAACAGTCATCCTAAGCTGTTCGCTCTTCCCCTCTCTTTTATAGTGCATTTATGAATTATGTTGTTTGCATTTGTAATTATGGAACTGAACAGATGGTGAAAGGCTTTTTTCAGAATGATGTGTTCATTAAAATAACCTGCTCTCCTCTGCCAAGTGATTGTTAACCCTAATCCCAATTTGATATCAAAGAGAGTTATTTGTTCTTTCTCTTCTAAGTTTGTCTGAAAGAAACGGAGCTTTGAGAAACAGACATGATATTGAGTGTGGAGCCACAATAGTGGGGCTGAATATACTCCAGAGGGGAAACCACTGAGGAGCTTTCTGGTTGTGAAAGAAAAATGCAGGGAAAGATAAATTGTGGACCAATGCAATGTCAAATCTAAGAAAGGTTTTAAATTCTTCATTCAATTTGGACGCTCAGTTCCACGTAAAATGTGGCTCCAGCCAACACCTCCCTATGTGCAAACTCTAAGTTCTACCATCTTAGGTGGTTGCGCATAATAATGGTAAATCCCATTATTAAAAATGGGACTCTCTTCTTTCTTCACAGTTTATCAGATCTTACAAAATAACAGCTTCTTCTATTCCCAACCAGTGTTTACTGGGTGCTTCTGCAAATAACTAGAGTGGTAACAAACAAAAACAATAACAAGCAACTGGCACAAACCTGGGAAAAGTTTCAATGCCACAAAACCTGCAGATTTATTTCTTTTCTTATTAGTTAGTCCTATTGACAATGGGACCTTCATTTTTTGACCAGAAGGGGAATGGATCCAATGGTAAAAGTCCCAGGGAGCACAGAGTTAACAGCTCTCTTACCTCCCCTGAACAAAACCCAGCCCAGGGACAATTGCAAAACCTCACCTCAGTCTCCAGTGAATGTCAGGACAACAGGAACCACCTTCTGCCAGTCCAAAAAAAAAGGAAGCAATTAATAATGTAAACAGATGTACAGGGAAAGGATTATTAAACAGAGAGCAAAGGCAGCTGTGCACCTACAGCAGGTTTGGGAGGGCTGTGGTTTCCTCCCATCACTCTCCTTCTGTGCAGCTGAAAGCTTTGCCCTGCTGGGGCAGTTGAGGGCATTCAGTTTATTTGTGATGATGAGACCTTCCTGCTGTCTACAACTCCCTGAAAGGAGGTTGGAGCCGGGGCAGGGGGATTGGGCTCTTCTCCCACATGACAAGCTCATTGGGAGACCTCAGGCTCTGGGAAAGTGGTGACTGGTTTTCATTACAGCTGAGGGAGCCAGAGACCAGCAATTTTTTTGGCTTTGCTTTCTTAGTAAATTGTCCAAGTTGGTGTGAGAGATAGCTCTGCAGGGAATGAAAGTGGGAAGATTGTAAGCATCCCCTTGGTGTTTTCTCCTTGGCTTTTGCTGAGTTCCCAGAATAATGCTGGAGCTTCTTGTTCTGGTTGTGGGCTGTAAAACCTCCTGTGCTGAGAGCTAATCCAACCAGTTAATTAAAGAGTCCATTGGACTTTCTGAAACAGTGGGAGATGCAGAAGCAATTATCTTCAAATTGGCCATCATCACAAAGTGCCATTTGGCGAGTAGGGAATAGTCTCCAGCAGGTCCCTTGAGGGGTAGCAATTCCTTTCCATTACTGGGCTTTACTGCTGGGTGGTAGTTGTGATCTGAGCAAAGTTTTGGGGGAAATGACAGGAACATTGTCCCCAGTTCTGGGAGGGGTCGGATGCAGAGGGCAGGGGCCTCGATTTGTAATTGAGCTTGGTGGTTTAATGTGCTGGTGTGTACAAATCCCACTAGAGGCAGGAAAGCTAAACAATTAATTTGCTGCAGATAATTTATTTAATGCATTTAAACTTTTTAATGTTGGGTTTTTTTCTCCTGCTCCCATACTATGGCTTCCTCAGATGTATTCATTACTCAGACCTACCTTGCTGTTTCTCTTGAAACATTCAGCCCACACGTGGAGGGTTCAAGTGTTGTTTCATCCTTGCATTTTAAGATAAATCCTTGGTGTCTCCATGGGGTGGGAGCTGAGGCATATCAGGTGTATGTTCCTGGAGTGAGGCAGCACTGAGATTCAGGTGTAGCTGTGCCTTTTCTCTGAAGCTTGCTCCCCATAAGTCTGATGCCTGAAAAATGAATTGTATTTTCAGGGAGTAGATCAGTTAAGTCATGGGGGTCAGAACAAAAGCAGGGCTTTTATAATCCCATCCTTTATACAACACTAAGTTGGTGCTCTGCAACTGGCAGGTAGCTTTGGAATTCCATTTGAAGGGGAAAACTGCAGCATGTGAAAACAACCCAGGTAACACAAAAGCCCGTCAGCAGAGGACTCCTTTAACGCATTCCTGGAGATGTTGGTAATATTTTTACAAATGATGTGCCAGTACCTGAGCAAGCCATCAGCCTGCAGTGCAGCATTTCCACCCTGTGTAGGAATGCTCTTTCCTCCTCTCCTACCAGTCCTCTTTCCCCACAGGGTAAACAGCTGGAAGTGTTGAGCTAACAACTGCCAGAGGCTTCAGACAGACACTTTGTGCCACATGAGATCCTGGGACACCTTAATGACTTCTCTTTAGCTTAATGCATCTCTGTAACAAACGGCATCACCTGCTATTGCTGATCTTGCACCACTTTCTGACTGCTGCAGAAGAACAAGGAAGGTTTGGCTCTTTGGATATCCTGTATGAAGTTGAGCTTTCAGTCTCTGTTGCGCTGCTGAGCAAGTCCCGGGTCGCTCTGAGCTATGTCTGCCCTGCTGATGGAGCAGGGGGTCTCCTGGCTCTCATCCTCTGTATCCCCATTTGTAGCAGAGACTTTGCCATTCCAGAGGTCTCCTTGGTGGATCATTTCACACACTGTCCCGTGTCTGACTTGGTATATCAAATTAAAACTACATTATGACTTGTATTTTTCATGGTCATCTCATCAGAGTGTCTGTTCAGTGTTAGATGCAAAATGTTTTTTCTTGTTTCTTACATCAAGTCTGTAATTTGTTGGGAGAATGAGCACATTTTTAAAATTTATTATCCTTGTTTAAAGTTGATTTATAAATTTATTATCCTTACTAAAAATGGAGTATTAAGAGTGCAGTAAAGCAACCAAGCCTGCCCGTGTTGAAAACCAGCATCTGGTCCATTAAAGGGTGAATTCCTGCAGGAATAATCACCAGAGCAAACACAGACAGGCAGCATTTTGAGGCCATACCTGATCCCCTGGAACTAACGGATTCATCATTTGTAGGATATTCAGATTATCTACTTCAGACATTTCAGTGGCATTCCAAGCACCTCAGTTAGGAGCCTAAGCCCCAAAAGTGCTCAGTGATTGAGAAAGAGATGCATCCTCAGTAATAATACCAAGTGAACTGATGTCACAGTATGAGTTTATGAACTTGTAGAAAAAGTTCCTGGCTTTTTTTAGTGATTATTTAAACAAACCCTGAGGCTGATAGTACTTCACTCTGCTAACAGGAAGAGAACTGATGTGTTCCTCTATTTTCTTGGGCTTTTTCCTTTTTAATCTTTATTGTGATACAGATGTTTTAGGTATGTCTTTGATGTTTGTTACTAAGAGAAATAACATATCTGCACGTCTAAACATTCAGGAGAAAAGTCTTAACAGAGACCTGATTTCCCTGATACACATTTGAACGAGAGAAAAATATATTTTTACAGTTATTTTTGCAGTTTCTTCTTTCTAGACCTACTCAGAGTATGATTTAGTTCAGCTTTAGTTTAAATTAAACAGACTGCCTAGGGAAGATACCTGGCTTGCTCTGTACCCTTCAGGGGGGTTGAAAGCAAGAATGATTAGATGTAAAATTTTAGAAAGATGTGCTAAATCGGTTTTACTCCAGTTAGCCAGCAGTTTTGCTGTCACCTCAGATCTGCTTATTCCTGCAAAGCACTGCACACCACTCAGGGAAAACGGCTGCACGTCACCAGCAAAATCAATCAGCAGTCCTGTTCAGAGAGCCACACTGGGATGAGCAAGAGGAGATGGGCTGGTAGATTAGGGTAAGAGATAACATGGAATTCTTACAGCAGAATTCTGGTTTTCCATGTCTGGCCCAAAGCCTGGAGAAATATCATAAAGGTCATGATACCTCCAAAGGACGTAACACCTGAACAGCACTGGCTTGATAAGACATGCTAGAATTGGCCCTAGACCGAGATGACTGTCTTTTCTAAGTGGAAATGCCCTGGAATGTTGGTCTTGGTTTCATCTTAAGCAGCACTGACTTCCCAAGCAAGTCTCAAATGATTCCTTAAATGCTTGAACTGAAGACATTAACTGAAGTGCCTTCAGCTCAGTCCACCCACAGGTGATCGGTGTTTCTTAGCTCCTTGGTCTGGATTCCTCTCATCCAGCTCCCATTAGACACGTGAAAACCAGCAGGTTCTTGGTTTTCAGGGTTTGCTTTGACTGCTTCAAACCAAAGATTTGGTTTCCTGTCATGGAACAAAGAAGGGATTTGCTTTGCTTAATGTGGGATCTGCATATTTCGAAGATGCTCTGTCTTAAGATGTACTTTGGGGTTTTCAAGAACTCATTTTACATAAGCAGGTCATTTTCATTGTTACTAACCAGTCTTTGTGTCCCTCCACTCCCAGGTACACTGTTTTACGCAATGGGCATCATCAGGAACATGAGAAGCTTCCCATCCACAACGACCCTGAATCCCAAGAGTCCTGTTTCTAGTCGTGGTCCTAGTAGAGGAATGGTCCAGCTGAAAGAACCTTTTAGGATATCCAAAGGATTCATGGACAGCAGGACTTGTTGAAAAATCATTCATCTGCATTGTCATGGTGCCTCCTACACTGACTTCACATGGATGTCCAGCTGCGGGATGGATGGAAGGTACAGGACTCCTGCACCTGCAGGGATGGCTGGACAGCTTTATTCCAGGAGGGAGTGATTCCTGTCAACGTAAGGACACAAAGCAGATACAAACCACTCAGTGCAGGGACTTCTGCTGCTCCTTTCCAGCTGCCATCTGTGCATAAGCCATCTCTCTGTCCTGCAGTCCTAGAGATCACAAGGTCTGGCTGAAGCCCTAAGAGGATGTGAGACTAAAGCCCTGCTTTATCTGTGCAAGATCCTACCCGCGGTGATGGATGGTCGGGGGACAAACAGCACTATGTTTTCTTCAGCGAAATAAGGGGGAACATTTGCCCTTTGATTATAGCTACTGCTGAAGGGTCAGCCTGAGCTGCTGGTTCACCCAACCCTGCAGAGCTTTGTAAATGCTTTTACTGTGTTTCCTGGCCACATTCATTGGTAGAAGACTCTGGTGTGTGTAGAGGGCCTGACAAGCTGGAGTGGGACCTACAGAGACATCTCACCTCCTACAGGGCCCTGCCAGCACTGCTCCAGTCCAGCCCACGGGCCCAAAGCCATGTCCAGTGGACAGGATATGGCCCTCAAACCCAGGCAAGCTGCCAGTGCTGTGCTCACCTGAGCAAACTTTGGGCATTCTGACCCAGAAGAAAGGTTGGCCAAGAGACAGTCAGTCTGTAATAGATCACTAAGTGCCATCTTGAAAAATACACCATCTAATAAACTTTTCTAGCTACGTTAGGAAGAGAGACTTCTACTTCCATTTTCCACCTTTATTTTTCTATTTGTTTCTGTTCTCTTCCAGTTGAGGCAAGAAGTTTCAAGATTTCCAAACATCACCGTACGCACATCTGCTTGCAAAGATCTCAGTCCTCAGCTGCTTCTGCATGTAGATGTTGCCATGTTCCTTGTGAGCTTTCCTTCCACCTTTGCATGGAAAGGGTGAGCAAGGCTGTAGACTTCACAACTTTGGGAAAATGATTTTCATGCAGTCGGAAATATGCAGGATCAAGACTATGAGCCTCTACCCTTTTTAAATGAAGATCTAACCCAGAGATGCCACCCTGAGCCTAGAAAATAAACTTGTACTTTGTTATATTGTGTAATCATGTACAGCTATTTTTAATGTAAAAAGAAAAGGTGACATTATTTATTATTTTTTATCAGGAACATGTGTTTTTTTCATTAAAAGCTTCTAGACCCAGGAGCTTAACATTATATGTATTATTATTTAGTAATATTTCTGTTGCTATGTGACAGGTATTTACTATAAACAGACAAATCCTGCTTTGAACAAACAAAAATGTTGCTCAGTAGGAAAAAAATTGTGCATGATAAGAACAACTGGCTTCCCCTGCCATGGTGTCTGACTTCTTTAAATACTTCTTCCACATAAAAGTCACTGATAAAACCTCACAGCGTTTCCCTTTAGGTTTCAAAAGGACTCTAGGGAGAAATAGCCCTAATTAGAAGACCAGACACTTACCAAAGTAGAGAATTGCTGGCAGTTAAAAAGAGTGAAACTGTTGGTCTTTTCATGGAAGGTGCTCCTGGTTCATCATTAGGACCTGTCTGGCAATTACCTGTTTTTACAGGGCTTTGTTTCCAAAAGAACTCATTGAACTCTACTGTTGACACCAAAACAGAGCAGGGAGTGAAAAAAGAAAGGTCATTATTGAAAGTTTGGAAAAAAATCCATCCAGAGCTGCTTGACTCCTGTGATCCTCACCCTCTGTGGGACTGCTCACACTGGTTGTGTCAGGATTTGGGTACATGAGGCTTCAGAACAGGTTGTTTTGGTTTCACCTCAAATGTCAAATTACTTAGAGAAATCCTGAAAAAGCTTTTCTCTGTCCCCATTAAAAGGCATCAAAATATTGGTGTGAAATTTCTTGGAGTGATCTGGAACCAGCAGCATGGAGATGCTACAGTAATGGTGTTTTTGTTTCTGCTGTTGTCCTTGAAGTGTCGTTTTCTCCTATATTTTTATGTGCATTAATAATATATCTCTTCTTAATTTAAAATGAACTCCTCAACAGGGCAATTTCCTCACAGGCAACACTCTGAAGGCTCTACCAATGGGAGCAGTAGCTCACTAGCCAAGATGGTCAACCGCTGTGATGGGAAAAAATTCCAAACTCTGTATTTGAATGAAATACCAAACACAAAATGTCCATGTTCTGTGTCATTTCTGACGAATTGCTCGTTGGACTCAGCAAACCTGTCATGAACCACCTGGCAGCTCCTGCTTAGTAAGTCAATAATCTCGGCAAAGCTTCTGTGAACCCAGCAAATGACATCATCTGTCATCAGTAATGGCAGAATTTCTCTGGAAAAGGAGCTGTCTCACAGAAAGGACCCAGACTCAATTTCCTTTGCTAAAGGTAGCTGCTCCTGCAGCCTCTCAGTTCAGCTTCCCATTGACCTTCTTGGCTAGTGGTGTCAGAGTCTTTGCCTGTGCTGAGTAATGTGTAATGCATTGCTGTTTCTAAAAATAAAAAATCTTCTATGTGCACTGCAGTGAACTCCAGCTCATGCTCATTTCTTGGCTCTTTTCACTCAAAACACATGATGTGACCAAGTTACACTTTATTGCCTTGCAAGACACTCCAACAGCCAGAACAGGGAGGGAGAATCCAGCCCTTCTTCGCTTTTTCTAGAACTCCCTGATGGGAGGGTGGAGCCAGGTGAGGGTCGGGCTCTGCTTCCAGTGAACAAGAGGACTAGAGGAACAGCCTCAAGTTGTGCCAGGGGAAGTTCAGGTTGGACATCAGGAGGAATTTCTTCACTGAAAGGGTTGTCAGGCATTGGAAGGGGCTGCCCAGGGAGCTGGTGGAGTCACCATCCCTGGAGGTGTTCAGGGAACGACTGGACATGGCACTCAGTGCTCTGTTCTGGTTGACAAGGTGGGAATTGGTTACAAGTTGGACTCGATGGTCTTGGAGGTCTTTTCTAACCTTAATGATTCTGTGAAACTACTGATGAGCCCTTTGATTGTAATACCCATTCCTAATTGTTAATCTACCAGAACAATCCTGCCTCCTGCACCAAGTTCTCATGCACTGGCTCTTTATCCCCACTGATTGTTTCTGAGCCCTCCCTCTCTCTCCCTTACCTGTGTTGTGCCCACCTGATCTCTCACATCTGCTCTGGGCACCACGCTCAGACAGGCATTTACAAACAGGGAGTCAAACATTAATTTGTGCAGCTCCATTTGTGTGAGTTTCCCAGTGAATCTGACTAAAAAAGGAAGCTTCTTTCTTCCTTTCCATCTTTCCTGCCACCTCTCACAGATTCACTCTAATAACCATATTTCTTCACATAAATATGCTAGTACTCATCAGTGAGTGATCACACCACCACTTTATGGTCTGGGAACACTTTACATGTTTTGGAATGCAGCAAGCCTTGGAAGCTTTAAGGATGGTGCCTGATGGAGTTGTTTTCTTGGATTACAACTCATGACACTTCTCCTTGCCAGAGGTAATTTGCTGGCAGAACAGAGAGCTAATGAGAAATTGGCTGGGCCTTTGCTAAACTATCTTCAGGAGGCTGAGATGTCAACACAGTTGTATTCCCATCTTTCTGTATTTTTTCTAGGCTCCAGAAGCACTTCTGGGATCTTGCATGACATTTGATAGCAGGGCATGGGCTCAGACAAGGAAATCCAAAGATGCCTTGAGGTTAGTACTGAAAGAGGGAAGGAGAGCAACAGGCTGGCTCCTTCCAAAGGCAGACTGAAAACATAACCTAAGGCTAAATCTGTGTGCCAGGGGGCCCTGGGCAGTGTCAGGGTGCATATCCCCATGAGCTGAGCCATTCCTCCTACTGCCCAGCTTGCCCTGTCTGCAATACTCAGTTTACTCAGACAGAAACTAAGTCACAGTCGTGCTGCAAAGTAAAATTCAGAGCTGTAATAAACAAGACACCAATGGGAAGCAGTGTTCACCAAACAGAAGCTCCCAGGAAGGGTGCAGAAGAGGCCATACACTTTAATTAGCTGATGTTTAAGACTGTCTGGAGGGATGTGAAGCAATAACTGGATGATACACGCTCTGTAAATGTCAGTGCTTGAGGCAGGCAGCAGCTGTGTTGCTTAGTGAGATGTATGGAGATATGGCTGCAGCCCAAGAGTAGCAGCAGGTCATGCTCATAAACACCATGCAGACAGCTGAATCCTTATGGGGAAACGTCCCTTCCACATTTATCCTTCAGTTTTTTCAACACTGAATATATCTTCAGTTTTTAATCTTGGAGAGGGTAATGGAAAAAAAAGTAGACACTATCTCAGTAGAACAATTAGCAAAATGTTTTCAGTAAATTCTCAAAACCCTTTTAATTTAATGCAGAAATGTGCAATGTGACCTGCTTCTCTTGCAGGATCTGATGCCTGTATACACACAGGAAGAAGTGAAAACATTTACCACAGTGGCTTAAAAATGAAGGCAACAGCTTCCACCTGCATTGCACCCCAGTGCACTGCAGTGCAGCGTGAGAGCAGAGCTGAGAAGGGGCTCACAGTGGGAACGGAGGGAGTGGCAGTGTTGGAGCTGAGGGATAATTGTAGAGGTGTGTGGGGAGCCCTTATTCGGAATCACAGAATCATTAATATTGTAAAAGACCTCCAAGATCATCGAGTCCAACCTGTGACCAATCCCCACCTTGTCAACCAGACCAGAGCACTGAGTGCCACGTCCGGTCATTCCTTGAACACCTCCAGGGATGGGGACTCCACCACCTCCTGGGGCAGCCCTGACAATCCTTTCAATGAAGAAGCTCCTCCTGATGTCCAACCCAAACCTCCCGTGGAACAGCCTGAGGCTGTTTCCTCTCATCCTGTCCCTTGTTCCCTGGGAGCAGAGCCCGACCCCCACCTGGCTCCACCCTCCTGTCAGGAAGTTGTAGGGAGCAAGAAGGGCACCCCCTGAGCCTCCCTTTCTCCAGGCTGAGTCCCCCCAGCTCCCTCAGCTGCTCCTGGTGCTTCAGCCCCTTCCCCAGCTCCTTTCTCTTCTCTGGACATGCTCCAGCACCTCAGTATTTCTCACATGGTGAGGGGCCACAGAACTGGACATAGCACTCGAGGTGTGGCCTCACCAGTGCCAAGCACAGGGGGACAGTCACTGCCCTGGTCCTGACTGTCCCTCTGCTCTTGCTTACAATGGTTCTGTCCTATTAAGCATATTTAATTTCTAGTTCTGATTTATTTGCAGCCACAGGAGCCCCACCTTGGCCTGGCAAGTTACCTGAAGGAGTCCCAGGTTGGAGGGGGCACTGTGGTGCAGATCTGGTTTGCAGGAACAGTGCAATCCAAATGGACTCATGTGAGACATGAAAACCATTGTTAGAGTCACCTTGATGTTGAATAGGACAAATCCCTCGCTGCAGAGAGCCTCTTTTGGCAAACTCGGGTCCTCCATGAGTCTCTGTTATAACAAAGGACACTTAGAGAAGAATGTATATTGGAAAAGCATTAGGTAACCACAAAAAACCTGAACATGAGTCAGAGCTGAGAGAGAGAAATTTTACTCACCTTGCCTTTGACTTCAGCACACTTCAAAAT